AATGATAGGTATGTATGTATGTCTGCGGAAACATACATACCTAGAAACTATAGGTATGTATGTATGTCTGGGTTCGTAGTGCCTTTTCCTATATGTTTAGACTCCTGGCAATCACCACCCGATAACCTGTCCCGGTATAAAGACTCCATTTCTTGGACCCGTTCCTCTCGGTTCGCGGGGCCCTTGGGTCGATCGGTTGAGGCTCTGAGTGGAGACCCGCACATCTCGCGTTGTCGCTGCTCCACGAGCGAAAGAAGAGACGTGACGTGACGGACCCCGTCACCATGGGGATCGTCGGAGAGTCTATTCAAAGTCTGCGCCCTAAAAATCCGAAAAGGCCCCTTCAACATCCTTTAACCGCGACCTCTGGCTTGACCCCTATGAGGGATTCCTTTGTTCCACCTTTCCGGTGCAAATGCTGTGATGCACCTGAGATCTTTGTGTGGGGTTTTTGTTTTGCCGGCGGCTCCTCCTCCTCCTCCCGCCTCCTCCTCATCAACTAACTCACACGAATACAGCTCATTGTGTGGAGGTTTTTGTTTTTCCTGCGGCATCCCGACTCCTCCTACTCCTCCAGGATCATATTTGTTGATTTTTCAGCAAGCACAGAATACAGAAGCCATTGAACTTAGGACCCAGTATGTGGGCCAGTGAGCATTCGGACCAACTGTGAATTTAAGCCTGGGTTGGGTTGGTTCCTCTGATTGCTGTTCAGCCAGAATCCAACGCTGAGGAACCAAACGCTCGCGAGCTCAGCAAGCGCCCGTGTTGCGCAAGTGTTCTAACCATCGAGTTGGGGAGTTCATCACATCCAACGGTTCTGTAGGGAAGGAGTGGCTGGAAACACCTGAGGCTTTGCGAACATCTCGCACATCAAAGGGGCGAAAACGTGGCCCCAAAAGGAGGTGAGCGTCCCAGTGTCATGTGAGTATCGGTATGTGCCACCGACCGCACGCGGCCCACCGGCGCAAATGTGGCCTTCCCGAAAGAGAAGCGATAAAGTTATTGATAATGTGAGTTATGCTACCCGAGTGGAATTGCATCATTTGTCAGGTAACAGGGCATCAATCGTCGTGGGGCGTTTTTTTGTTTGAATTTGGGTCAAACAGACGGCAGAGCTAACAAGATGGTGAGAATCGGACCACGTGGTATAGCTCCGCAAGCCGCTTTCGCTTTCGTTCACTTCGATCGATCCCGGCTCAGAGAGCACAAGTCTCCTTCGCCGCGAAGCGGGGTGAATATAGGGCCCCAACCATCTCCTCAGGTTCGGTGGTTAGACCTCGGCACCCGCCCCAAGCATCTTCTCAAAAAAGCTCGTTGGAGCCCTTTTTGGGGGAAGAAAACAAACAAACAAAAAAATGAAAGAAGAAACCTGAGACGGACATGCCTCTTAGAGGTCGACTTGGGGATAGCTCCTTAGAGGTGACTCGGGGTTCAAAAGACCATCGGTCGAACGCCTCACGCGTCGGTCCGTCTGCTAACGTCGGTCCGCCGGTCGGGTGGACGGTGGGCCCGCCACGACGCTCTTCCGTTTGAGAGTGGAGCCCAATTACTTTTGTAAGTACCCAGGGAAATAGTAAGAATATATGAAGTACATATATATAGAGGACACATATATAGATAGGACACACACTTGTGTTTGAAGTACGTCCTTTGAACCCTATTGGAACCCACTAGAAAACAACAGAGCAACGTCCCGCGACTCGGCCACTAGACGACCAAACGATGATGCCAATGGTGCATACCTGGACCCTCCTGTCGGGGTGCCCTGTCTGGAAGCCTAGGCCGGTAGTGTGGAGTAGTCCAGCCAGGACACCCCGAGGGTCGGAGGGTCCTGGTACACCCTGTTGTAAACATTCATGACACATGCGACACAGACTCTGTCACAGATGTGTCATGGTCACAGATGTCGTCACTGTGTCATGTCTTTCTCCTTCTGAAACACCACCCCAGGCGCCCTGGCCCGGGCCGGTGCCACCCTGCCCACCGTTCTCCCCACTGTTCCCGCTCCAAGCAGCGACCCTTCAGGCGCCACGGCCCGTCCAGCGCCTCTGTCGCGTTCGCGGCGGCGGCATCGACCGCCAGCCACAGCAGCCTCAGCGGCGGCGACGCGGGCGGGCGCGCGGAGCGCGCGGAGCGCGTGTCCCAAGGAGTGAGGCGGAAACGCGAGGTTTTGGTGAAAGCGAAGTGGCCAAGAGTGTCTGGCAGTCTTTGTTCTTGCAAGAGATGTCTTGTTTTCTTTCAACTGGGGCCAGAAAAACATGTGGCTCTTGCTTAATTTTCTATGTTCCCTAGGGATCCAAGCAGTACCTTCTCAGAAAGTACTTGGACCCTCCAAACCCACACAACAGTGTATCTAATCACCTTCTCAGAGGGTATGTGCATCCCTAGGGATTCTATCTGTTTAGTGAGTTGCTCTTTTCTGTGTGGAGTGATTCTATTACAACTGCTTGCACAATCCGGTCTTGTCGGATGGTCATAGATGGTCCATGAGTCTTTTTTCGCCTAGACTCCATGGAGTCCGTCACGAAGGCACAACACTGTCTGTGCTTCGACGACTTCTCTATTCGTCTAAAAAAATATGTGTGTGTGTGTGTGCGTATTGCTATGAATATGTGCCATGAACATATATTGCTCATAAATATGTATAGCAACATGTGCAATATGTATAGCCAAAAAAAGGGGGCAATGCGTCATATATGTGTGGCCTGCTATTCGTCAAATTGCCCCATGGATGGAAGTTCCTGGACTGTCCGGGTCACCTCTAAAGATCGTCTTGGACACCCCAACCATGCGATGAATGACCAGGGTCCACCACCATGCGATGCTTTGTTTTTGGGCCGCTTCTTATCGCGATGACCCCCAAAGCTTCGAGACGTATCCCACTGTGAGAACCATACGCAAGCGTTCGAAGGCACTTCTTATGGATTGCCGAAGGCTGAAGTTGTTGTTTCTTTTTAATGTCCTTGGGGGACGTGGGTACTTTGGTCTCATTTGTTCCATGTCCAAAGTTCCAAACCGACGACCTTGAAGACCTAAGAAGAAAGAAGAAGAAGAAGAAGAAGAAAAAGAAGAAGAAGGAGGAGGAGGAGGAGGAAGGAAGAAGACTGAAACCATCATAACACTCCAACTCCAACTACTGCCGTGCCCAGCTGCCGTGTGCGGTCACAAAGCAGGATCTCCGGATACTCCAAGACCGCCACCGCGCCCGGCGTGCAACTGGCGGTCTTGGGAGAACGAGACTGCGATCGAACCCTCGATCGAACCCACTGCAAGTCTGGGTGAGAAAGAGGTACCCAAAATAGAAGTAAGAAACGTGTCCTAAGCAGCCTGGCAGGTCGTTGCATGATGTCTCTCATGCATTGTTAGGTCTGATGATACGCGTGTCTTGTTGCGTCTTTTTCAGCGCATGTCTTCTTCCTGCGCTTCGAATCCTTCGGCAAACGACCCATTTGGGGTCCCCCTCCTTCCCCTCACCCAGAAAAAAACATCAATGGCACGGACAGCCGGGTGCCCCACGAATCAAAAAAACACAGGCACGGACGGATTCCGCCAAAGAGTTCCACCCCTCTCACCGGATTTTGCCCAAGACTTTCATCTTTGATCCTTCACCCCGGTAGAAAAGAACTTCCAACATCTTCCACTCCGCGCCGCCGGTTCCTCCCTCCCCACTATGTCGAATCGTCCAGCGGCGCCTGCCCATCAGCTCCACACAGCTTCGGGAGGCGCTGCTCTCGCTGGGGCCCTGCAGCAGGTCCACCTGATCGCGGAATCGGCGCGGAAGGCGCGGCCCAGAGCTCTGTGGGTCCACGGTCGACGTGGTGAGGGGCTTGAGCGTTTTCTTGCGGGTTCTGTCGAGAGAGGGAGGGAGGGGAGGTTCGGGACGTCACGAACTGAGGAAGAAGGTGCCAAAATGGTCCTGACTGTGAAGCGGGTCACAAAGAGTCCTGAAGAAGAGGAGACAACATCAGGCGTGCCGCATGGCCATGGCGGAGGGTGGCGCTCAAGAGCTTTAATGTATAGACGTATATAGAGACCAATAATTGTGGACGTTCAAACCTGGCGGCCGACTGGCTTGGCTGGCATGGGTTGAACTCAGTTGGGGCAAAAAACTCCTTCTTGCAGTGGGTCTTGTCATGACAAAGGGCAAAACTAAGAGCTGCAGTTACAGAAGTTGTCCTGGCACCAAATGATCAATGGCACCAGTGCAAGTCTGGCGCGGGGGTGCTTGGACAGAAACAACTTCAAAAAAATTACACCTGGATGCCTGGCTGACCCCACGTCACATGAAACAACTTCCTCTTTTTAGGCATGTGAACCTATGGTTTGCAGAAACCACTGGCACTTGACCCACACTCATCTTCCACGCCCATCTTCTGCAAAAACGTACCCCATCCGAGGACAACGTACCCCGGCCACCGCGGGCGCGGCCTGGAAGACCTTCAATTCGCTGGACGAGACTATGAGCTGGTGGTCCCAGGGCGCCAAACCTCGGGTGGGTCCAACGGCGCGGACGGGTCCGACCTTCTCTCGTTCCGCGGGTCGACGTGGCGAGCCTCCTTCTTAGGGCCGATGGAAGTGGGACCATCCGTTCGGCGACGGGAGATCGCTCTTGATGGCTCGTGGGTGGTTCACTGCCAGGTTGGTTGATTTTAGGGGTCTTATCTGTTCCTTCATTGGGGAGCGCACTGCAGGTGGAGTGTAGCGCCCACTCCGTGTCCAAAAAGCTTCATCTCCTTTCCCTCTGATCAGGAATCTTTTGGCAGATCCCACCTTGGACATAAACCCTGCCTCAAATCAAAGCCAAAAACCGAACAAAAAGGGAGCTGTACGCATGAAACTAGAAAATGTGTTTTTTTTGCGAGTGCGCACTGACTGAGTCTCAGTTTTTGTGTCGTTCTCATTGTCAAACAGTTCTTGGGTCAACAAATCAGGCAGCTTTGTCGTGGAGTTGCTCTATGTCCTAGGAATCCAAGACACTAATTTCAAGCCAAAACCACCCTACCCAAAAGGTCAGCCATAAACCTTTGCAAGGCTGCGCAAGACTGCAAGATATTGTGCTGTATGTCGTGCAATCCATTCTCTTATGAGTCCAAGAAATGCCCACCCCCCCACCCGGTACCTCGTTGCTGTCCCCGTTGAAGCCCAAGTCTCCCAGGACCTCATCGTTGAGATCAAAGACCTGCAGGTTGAGTAAATTGAAGTACCTGTATGTTGAATCCACACACGCAAAGATAGGTTAGGACGGCAAACAAAAGGCAAAGAGAGACATGATACATGATCCTTTTCACCTTCTCGCACCTGAATACATAGACCTCTATTTCAAACCTTTGGATCACCCACCGCCCCACCGCCCCGCTCGTCACATCGAAGCCTGCCCCACCGGCCCTCGTCCCCGTCGCCTGCGGCGTCGCCTTCACCGGGCCCAGCTCGTCGAAGAGCGCGTCGCCCGCGCCCAGCAGCTCAGGCGCCGGAACCTGGACGAGGCACCGAGGTCTGACGCAGCGCTTGGCGCTTTCCGCGGCAGGACGAGGGGAAGCATTTCGATGAAGGAGAACAGTTGAGAGGAGAGAGTAGCGGGGTCATGTGAACATCAAGGAAGGAGGAAGAAACGGAGTGCTAGGGGGATCTTCTGGGGAACGTTGGAGGACTTAGGGTGCCGAAGGTTCCTTCTTCATGCCGACCCATGGGACTGGGGCCTCCCGGTCTTTTTTTCCGGGTCAAATCTTCAGAGGTCCGGATGACAGCTCAGCGTCTACAGGAACAGCTCAGCGTCGTTGAAGGGAAGAACAGCGCAGAGAAACGTCCTTTTGAGTGTGAGAAAGCACGTATCATCATATACCTGGACCTTCAAAGGGGGTGTCCAATGGAGATCCCTAGGCAGTGTAGAGGTGTCCATTGGTGAATTGTTTGAAGGTGCTGGTGTCCATCCAACGAACTGTCCACCTCTCAGGTGGCCCTTCTGCAGCCCCCGTGCCATCCCGTGCCTCCCCCCACTCAGCTACAACTCCAGTGCCCTCGCCACGAACCTGGCATCGGTGAACGTCCAGCTTCCCAACGGGGAAAAGAACAAAGACAGCCAAGAGGAGGCGTGAATTGGTATGAACCCCCTTGCTGGGGAAGGTATCTATCTGCCTATCTGCCTATACCCACTCACATCATATAGAGTATCAGTATAAGTCATCCTGATGCATTTGAATGATCTTCCACTTCCACTTCCGCAAAATCACCAAACTCCCTCCCTTCTTTCTTTCATTCTCCCATCTTCGTCTGCGGCTTCCATGTGGGTCATCTCTGCGAAGAATCTGCGCCTCCATCCCTCCTGCCCAACAAAAACACCCCGCCTCCAGCCGCAACGTGCCCAATCCGCCGAGACGCGCGCGCCGTCTCTCCGCGCGCGCCGGCAGCACCAGGTCGTAGAACTCCTGTGGTGCCCGAGCGTCGTCCCGGAAGAATGGTGCCTGATCCTTTCAGTAGTAACAAAGGGCATCGCCACTAGTAACAAGGGCATTATTACGAACACATATATATATATATAATATAAGGTGCGTCAGAGATTGGGGAGATGCCAATCGCCCAGGGCCCAGCGGATGATGGCTAGTCACAGGATGTTTTGACCTGTCTCCCATCCGACAGCTTTCCAGCTCCCAGAGGCTTCCACGTTGACGCACCAGGAAGAACCCTGCTGCCCTGGATGCAGTTTTGTACGCCCAGAATGTGTGGGTTGTTCCGCCAGAAGCAACCTCCAAAGTGTGTGCACTCCAATTCCCCCTAAATAACAGCGCCAAAGGGCGATGGGCTGACGATATTTTGTTCAGATTCCTGTAATCCAAATTAGGACACGTGCACTGCAACTAGCAAATACAAACTGAAATGAATGCCATGCCCTACGCAAAAAAAAACGGGACAACCGGTAGGCCATTCCACCCATACAAATTCAGCAGGACAAAGTCTTTTCCGCTGGTGTCAGTCAGCTTGATGGTTATCATTTCCATCATCCACCTCCTTTGCCACACCTTTCCTC